CCAGCTAATTTTTTCTATTTTTGGTAGAGATGGGATCTTGCTCTTGCTCAGGCTGGTCTTGAACTCCTGACCTCAAGTGATCCTCCTGCCTTGGCCTGCCAGAGTGCTAGGATTACAGGTGTGAGCCACCAAGCCTGGCCTATTTTTTCAAATATATTCTGAGCATTTATACACAGCACTAACTATTCTGTAAATTTACTGATTTTAATGATGAGTTGAACATCCCTATGGATGAATTTAGTCATTCAATCTACTGTTGAGTGTTTAGATTGTTTCTGATTTTTAACTTGAAAATTATGCTTTAATGAACATATTAATTTATAAAATTTTTTACATACCTAACATCATTGGCTCTGTCCTTCAGAAAGGTTCTACGAATTTCCTCACCCACAAATGGCACACGAGAAGGCCAGTTTCATCACAACTGTGCCAACATGGAGTGTTATCACTTTTTAAAAAAATGTTGGCAAATTTGCTAAGTCAAAACCAAACCAAAACAACCTAGTGCTACCTACTGTGCTCCTGGCCCCAACACAGGCATCCGTGTACTCAAGACCATCCCACCATGACACACGGTCAAGTCTTCCTCCGGCCTCCAGGCCCAGAGCACCCCATTTCTCTGTGTCTCTCCTGGCCTTCCCCGGGGCTGAGTTAGTTCCTGTCTTCCCCATGCTCCAGGTATACATGAGGGTACCTACGCCTGCTTAGTTCTCTGTCTCTCCCGAGGGGCTCCTTGAGGAAAGGATTTTGAAATCCACGTTGGATTTGCCAGTAGGGTACGATGCCCAAGGCAGTATTTCTTAGGAATAAGTCTATGGACGTCCTGTGTTAGAACCACCTGGAAAGCCTGCTTAACACAAATCCCTTGCCCAATTCTAGATGTACATAATCCAAGGGAGAAAGTATGTGTGTGCTGGGACCCTCCATTGTTAGCAATCTATCCAGGTGACCCTGATGCCTACAAGAGCCTGAGGACACACGGCCCTGAGCTGAGTAGGACTCAAAGAGCCACTGCTGAATGGAAAATCCCCAGGTTAGGGCCTGGCCACTTCCTCCTCAGAGGTCAGGGCACACAGTACACCCTGCAGTCAGGGAGGACAGGAGCTAGGAGGTGGGGGACACAAAAATTTCCTCTTCCAAAAGCAGGGGTGGGGGGCCTAGGGCTGGGGTGGGGCATCCGGACTGCACTCTGCAAGAGGGATGACAGCTTCCTGAGTCAACGGAAACTTGGGCGCAAGAAAGCTGCAGAGGCAGCTAGCAGCACGGATGCAGGGAGAACCCAGGCCTGGGGCAGAGGCCAAGAGACCGGGATTCCAGCTTTACTGTGTGGCGTTAGGTAAGTCACTCCCTCCTCCAGATCTCAGTTTCCCCATCTGTGAGGGGTCAGGGTTGGGACAGACGCTCTCCTCGCTTCTGAGTTCCAGGGCAGCCCTGCTCCTAAGGAGGCTGGAAGCGGAGCGCCTATGCCCGCCGAGCACGCACAGCGCTGCGGCCCAGCTCCTTGCTGTCAAGCAGACCAGAGCCCTGCTGTAGCTTCAGCCTGAAGCACACCTGCTATGGCAGGACACAGCTGCCAAAAGCAGACACGGAATCAGGGTAGAATGAGAAGACGGTGTCCCGCGCCATGGAGAAGCCAGACAAGCTCAGATTGGGGCTGGTGAAACGCTCTGAAATACACGCACATTTT